AAAAAAAAATTGAATATGATCATCTTCACTGATGTCTTGTTGTTCATAACATGAATAGCCATTACATTTAAAGAAACTATGAACTCTACTCAATTGAATCTTCTGATTTCATTTTGTCTATCACTCGACCAAATTCGTTTTGACCTTCGGACTCTGAACCGCTATTTTCTCATGTTTCTGTCTGCAGCCGTGCTTCATAACACACTTTTTAACCAGTGCTAGACTTTCATTCATTTTTATTGTTCTTAAATGCAAACTACTTCCCATTGGTTGGCATCTGCTTTAACCTACTGTTTGAATGTGAAATGCTTGAATCTAGACCTTCTGTTTGAGTGATCCAGCAGAGATGCTGATAAACGTGTAGAGTATTGATTGAGTTCATAACACTCATGAATATTGGCAAGATTTTACCTTACTTTTATTTGTCCCCCTCCTTCTGGTTGTTATTTTGTAGGAGTCCACGAACAGATGTCAAATCATCAGTTCACAGTAAACTTAACCGTATATGTCACTCATAGAGGTTTTTGAAGAAAACCGTCAATCATAGTTATTTTAGAGTACTGTTATTTTCTTATTTTATGCGTAGGAAAACTATTTACATGTTTAAATTATTTTTATATACACATGAGTTCGTCATCTTGAATGCGTTGGTGCATACACAATTCGGTATTTTTCGGATTTCATCTTTAAGGTGGTTTCCTGTCTTTCAAGCCTTTTTATATGGTTTGTATACACCTAGCATATTCACCATCTTTTTTTACATCCTGAATATAATTTTAGATTTTAAGTTTTCTTGTCATTGTATAATAATTACTAACTATTCCTAAATAAGTAATCACTAGATTTCTTATTACAATTATTACATTACCACGCTTAGATTATTATCAATTGTGGTAACGCAACTCATCCATCCAGTAAACATTTTATATCCTAGATCGTGAGCTAGACGTACTTTATCACAACCAGGTGACTCTGGCTGAATTAAGAGTGGGATCCTGAACCTTAGATCAACTGGTTGAATAGCGAGAATGAAAAGCTATGAGTCATATTTTTTTACCCAGCCCACTTGTGTACTGTAAGTACATTTAGTGATTGTAGATGGCAATGTTTTGCCCTACTTCGCATGTAATGTAGTTCTCTCATACGTTTTGCTGCAAATCTTACCGTCAATGTCATTCATCACTGAAAATTGTTTCAAGTTATATTTTATTTTAGGTTGTTATCCACTGATCTGTGACTGATATTCGAAGTGTATTAATACACCCCGACTGATAGCTGCTACCCTGACATGATGATCCCGCTTGCTTATCACAGTAATGCAACGAGTTATTTTGGCTGAAAATGTGCACAGTCATCAGGTCGTGTTTCGTTGTGTCACCACGTCAGTAACGTACTAGCCAGGCGTAGAGTTTTAGGGAGAAGAGGGAGATTAGATAATGATGTTGTGAGCCTTCATTGATTCTGGTAGGTGGGGCACGTATTGCACATACCTAACCACCACCTGCTTCGTTGCACAATGTTGACTGAAGTAGGTTCAGGTTGGAAAAAGGTTAGAGGTAGCCAGACTGAGACATGGCATCAGTTGATGAAGTCTTTGACTGTTGGAAATGTAGACTTCCTGTTTGGGGTTGGGTTTGGCGTGGCAACAAAAAGCAGTGGTTGGAGACTCTAGGTGATATGACTCAGAATCGATGTCAGTGGCACAGATGCATCCGCACATAATCTTCATCCTAATCACCATGCTGACCTCCAGTATTGTCTCATTTCTCCTTGCTTTTCTTGATAACCTTTTGCCTCCTTTGGTTGCTTTAAAAAAATATTCATTTATCTCTTGTCGTAGTTAATTCTCGCTTAATGTGCTGACGTAAGGTATAGCAACTTGGGTTATTACACAATAATGCCAGGTCCTACGTTCATTTTGTCTGTCGCTCGCCGAAACACTTGTTCCTGGAGGTCCTACCAAATAAAATAGGTCTATTTAATGGTGGTAAGACGAGCAGTTATCGTTGTAGCATAAATCGCTACACTATGATTGGGGCCTGAGAGCGAAGTCATGCTGTTTCCTTTACGGGGTATGACGGCGGTAAATTGTGTATTGCGGATAACCAGCAGTCTATCTTGATCCTGCCCTTCCCTTTAGGAAATAAAGGAGTTAGTAAGGTTGACATTTAAAGTAGCACACCTATATCTGTAGTTTCCAGGTACAGATGGTTTGGGTATTTCCTATCCGGCTTTAGAACAATTAAATCTCTGCGATCATGCAAATCTATTCCTTTTTCACTTTCAGGTGCTTTACAGAACCGACTTCTATGGTATGAGAGTGGCTGATAAGTATCAACCGCCTGCACACTTGCAGCAGTATGCTAAACCTAATCCTCAATATCCCACCGTCCTTACCTTAGTCTCCTCGCTTGCCTTCACTTCCAGTATTAACCGTCTCATAACTTGTTCACCCTTTCACTCTACTACCATTGATAGCAGTCCAAGCTAGGAAAACAATATTCTTAGTTTTTAAAAAGCCTGTTACCAGTTCTACACTGAAGTTTTCAACTTTCTAACCCTTTGCCAAATCGTACAACAGACCTGATGTATCAAATATATGAATTCTTGAGCCATGAGTGAATAATGTATTTCTGAGACACGTAAATAGGGTCAAGTGTGGTTAGTCATTTGACCTCGCCTCCGCATTGCGGTAAATCTTCAAAACCCACCTTACGAGTATCCGTATGCTTCATGGTTAATTTTCGTGGCCTTGCTGTTATAGTCAAAGCATAGAGTCGTAGAGCAGAAAGTGCATTCCTCTACTGAATACTAGTCAACAGCCGTTTGTATGCTGTTCGACTGGAATGGATCTATAAGAACAAGGAAGGATCGCGAGACTAATTGATACCTACTTATAATCTCTGCCTACGCTTCAACTGACTGCTGTGTGGATGCTGCGAAGTATGAACTCTGTCGAAAGCTGTTGATTCAACTACGGAAAACAAAACGTTCAGATGTTATTATAATAGCATGTGACTGTAACGCTCAAGTAGAAAAGCTGAGCTATAGATGGTTACCGAATCCTATGCCAATGAACTGATAATGGTGATCATTTGTTGCTATTAGTTTTGACGATCACTTGTTTTTGGTCAGCACTAATTTGAAGCTTATAAAGAGAAACTATCTCACACGTGTCCGCTGACATTGAATCTGGATAGATCATATTGCTATAAGACATTGATGAGTTGTCGCTCTTTCCGAAGTGCATGTTTGAACTTCGATAATACGTCAGTACGAAAACCTGTATGTCTGCGCCTTTCTAGTTGCCGAAAACGGGTATCAGTTAAGTCTATGTGTGTCTGACTGGAAGATGAGGTCAAGATCGTAAATAGGGAGGATATAGCTAAACATTTATCTAAACGTAGCAGCAATCCTTATTTTGGCGAAGACTAATATGGTATTTAATCTGCTGCAGAAATAGTGGTACAGACAGTCGATAACCTACATTCAAAGGTTTACAAAAGTCAGTGAATTTCCGCAACATCATTCAAACTGATCGACGCGACAAGACGCGTTCCAGCTGCCTATAATTATCGTGATCATGAGCAGACGTATTTGGAGAAAGCTTACGAAATGGAGACCTAGACAACAGTGCATCGACCAGATCTCCACCCTTTAAGTGGTTCTTTAACAGAAGGTTACATAGCATCAACTGATAACTCATATTTCTTGATCTTAAGGCGGCATTTGACACCGTCTACAGAAGATCTTCCTGATAGTGTTCGATTATGAAGGTAGTACCGAGCAGAGATGTGTTGCTGACCAAAGCCATCTTGTTGAACTCACGCGGAAGGGTGATAGCTTATGAAAAGTTGTTATCTAAAGTTATGGTTCTCGAAGCCTAATGATGAGATGTCTGAAAATCGGTCACAATGGGTTAGTTGTATGTATCCTCTCTTTGACGTTTTCTGAAGCCTAAACATTTTCACTGACCTTGCTTTTCGAACTCCTTTTCCTCACACTTCTGTATGTATGTGTGTGTGTGTGTGTACTTTGATATCATTCCTTCTTTAACCACTTGTTCTTCCCACACTACTGTCATGAGCCCAGCGTTAAATACAGATAGTTATGAATGTCAGCTGTGGTATGATAAATTCATGGTTATTTCACCTCATCTTAAGTTACAAGTCACATGTATTCTGAAAGTAAAATATGGTGAATTTGTGGGGATTTAGTGGTTTTTCAAGTTGGTACTCATCATGAATTGACATCGGTTCCAGGAACATTGTTAACTTGGTAGCACTGGGCAACTGTTTCGTCCTAGTATGGGACTCCTCAGTATTGCGTTTCTGTGATCCCTTTGGGGGTTGAACCCAAGACCTTCAGGTTCAGTGGCCAGCATGTTACCGTTGAGTCAATGGGTGGGAATCTAATGGCCCGCATTTTGAACTTCTGTCAGTTCACTGACAGCCTTGAGATGTGATTCCTGAAGTTCCAATGATAAATCATAACCGGTGGGGCAAACATAGTAGTCGTGAGGATAAATACTCTACGACGACATTCGGTGATAGTGACGCTATGTCGTGAACTGACAAAAGTTGGGAATGTGGACCACTGAATTCCTCCCCCCCAAGTGACTCAATGGTAACGTGCTGGCCACGGAACCTGAAGGCCATGGGTTCGACCCTTGGCGGTCCGAGGTCATGGTTGCGCACTGCTAAGGACTCCCATACTAGGATGAAACAGCTTTCCAATGCTCCCAGGCTTCCTATTTTCTTCCAACTTATGTCAGTTCATGATGAATACCAACTTGAAAAATATAGGGGGTTAGTAATGCAACAAAACCGCTTGATTACGCAATTATAAGGTTCAGAGTGTATATATTGATGCTAAAAATTCAGGGTTTTAGTCCAAGCAGTCGTTCATTAAATATTGCTGGTTAGTAAACTCTTTTTTCAGTCTTTTTTCTAACTACTTTTCTCAATTAATGACTTTTTGAATTCTTTTCTGTCTTTCAGAGTTAACCAAACAAGCTTTTATGGATCATTTTGCCATGCTTCAGTCACCAGCTTATGCTTCAACTATAAAATCAGAACTTGAACGTGAACGTAATCGACAGACAGAATTGTTAAAACACACAAAAGCTTTAGAACAGTCCATAGCAAAGTTACATGCAGATGGGACAGAGTTGTTGAATCGTTTCACAAAACGCGTAAGTCTTTTTTCTTGAATAAAATAGGGATGCGTACATGTCATGCATTCCTCAGATAGTTTTTCTTTCTGAAAACTTCGTCGGCAAAGTAATGATCAGGTGTAAAGTCCTAGTTAAAGAATGCAAGTTATTGGATGATGTTTAAAAACTTTATCAAATGAAATAGTTGAGTTGTGTTACACATTCTGAACCGTTTACTGAAGTAAGACTAGGGAGCTATACTCATCAAGTGGTGTCCGTCAAGAATGCCCACTATCCCCTTTCTTATTTAATTTTATCATAGATATTCTTATGGAGGTTTCCCTCTCGTCACCTGATTACACAGACGTTGACCCGATCACAGGTGAATTTTCTTTAGATCTAGAATATGCAGATGACATAGTCCTGTTAGGTGAAGACGCTGACGAGATGCAGAGTCTTCTGAACACTTTGAGTGGGAATTTGAGAATGTTTGGGATGCGACTTTCACCACCCAAATGCAAATTTTTGCTCCAGGACTGGTCTTCAGTGGTACCGCGGTTAACAATAGAGAGTGTAGTGGTTGAGTGTGTTGACCACTTCACTTACCTGGGAAGTAGGATCAACCCTGGTGGGTTAGTTGCCGATGAGATTTCTGCACGGATACAAAAGGCTGGATTGGCTTTTGCCAATTTGCGCCACCTATGGCGCCGCCGTGATATTCGTTTGTCTATTAAGGGTCGCGTGTACTGCACAGCAGTCCGCTCTGTTCTACTATATGGCTGTGAAACATGGCCATTGAAAGTGGAGGATACAAAAAGGCTTCAGTGTTTGACCACCGTTGCCTTCGTAATATAGGACGTATTCCGTGGTGTCACCACGTGAGTAATGCAGAAGTTAGGTATAGAGTTTTAGGGAGAAGAGGTAAGTCAGTTGACGAGGTTGTGAACCTTCATCGACTGAGATGGTTGGGACACGTACTACGTATGCCTACGCCTGGTCACCGATTGCCTCGTCACACAATGTTGGCTGAGGTGGTTCCAGGCTGGAAAAAGGCTCGAGGTGGCCAGACTAAAACATGGCACCAATGTATGAAGTCTCTGACTGTTGGTTTAAGCCATGTAGGACGATGCAGACTAGGTGGTTGGGGTCGACGGGACAAGAGGAACCAGTGGTTGGAGACCCTAGGTGATATGGCTCAGGACCGAAGTCAGTGGTGCAGATGTATACACACATTATCCTCATCTTAACAACGCTATACCGAATCTCACTATTTTGTCACTCTTCTTTCCTTTCTTCTCGTACTTTATATTTCTTTTGACTGCATTCACTTATCTTCATCCTTCGCCTTGCTACCTTTTTACTTGATGTGCTGATATGAGGTGTGGCAACTCGGACCGTTAGGCAGTAATGCCTGGTCCTATGTTCATAATGATGATGATGATGAGTAAGACTAGGTTGGGAGGAACTAATGGATAGAAAGTCTTGAACTTGACATCACTCCACTTGTCTCTGTTCAAATCCACCAGTGATAACAAAAAATCACCTATGAAATCAATTATAAATAATTTACTGAAAACTGTAAGTGACCGCTAACAGTTCGTCAGTGATCGTGCATTATACCTTCGATACGCTCTACAAAGTGTTGACAATAAGAGCTTTACAAACTGTTAATTAAAATGAAACATCTACTGTCTATTTTATTAATAATAACATCAATTCATTATTAACATCTTTGAGGATGAAGTTGTTGTAGTGGTTGGACATCACTAACTTGTGTACCAATAAAATGCACCCAAACGTTGACTACATGAACTGGTAACCGTCTATTTGTAGTACCTTAGTCAGTTGGGCGACTTTAAAGGCTACCCTTGTAACTGCTTTGATAACCAATTACTTTTGTTGATTTTATAAAAAAAAACTACCTTTCTAACCGGAGTACTGAAACCTGATTGGTTATCTCAGCAGTTGGCTAAGGTGGCCTTTAAAGCCACGCCTCAGTTTATCAGGTTTTATTTTAGATTCTTTTCAGGTATTCTACAGCTGCTCATCTTTTGTTATCATCTTTTCAGTGCCCTTTTCACCTTCATTTATAATGTTAAGTGTAGATACACTAACTAGATGTTAGTCGTCTATTTTCTAAATTCATTGGTATAGAAATTACATATTTAGCATCCGGTGTACAGTTAACTATGTTCTTGAATCACCATTGCCGTTTTTATATTTTACGTCATACTGAATACACGTATGTAGATGCGTAGGCTTTTTGCTAAGCTATGAGTGTGTATGTGTGTGTGTGTGTGTGTACCCTATTTTCTGTCCATTTTATTATCATTCTATAGTGTTTCCTTTTCAAACACCTACACACATTCAAGACTATCGTTCTAAACGCATGTCAATATATTGCAGTGTGTAATCTGTTCATATTTTTTGACATCTATACTATTCTTAACCAAAAATGGTAGTAGGAGTGATTAGTCATCTTAAATGGCTTCACTACCTACATAGCATTATTTGAGACAGCGGGAAGTTTTAGGGGATGAAAGGATTTTGTTGCTATTCCCTCAACACATTTAAATAAGAATCTTAAGAATATAGGTCATTGGGCTGGGAGGTTGACTTCCAACCACTGGGTTGCTTGTTCGAACCCCGACTCCACCTACCGAGTTCTGAACAATTAGGTACCATCTACTAACCTTTACACAGTAGATGTGACTCATTGCCTACCGAACTAATGTGCATGTAGTTGCTAAGTTCGCTTCGTAAAGTAAGAACTCTTTGTACATTATCATCAAAATACCCATTCTAGATATTGTGTGATGACATTCATCGTGATCAGGTTATTCCGTCTATTTGACCAGTGTACGATTATCAATGTATATCTCATAGAGAAAGAACTAAGATTTCGATGCAATAATGTCTGAATTTCACAACTTCACAATATGAAGTATAAGCGAAAGTGGAATATTCTCTGAACTTGTCAATGGTACTTACTCGTGACACAACCTGAAATCTATTCTTATTATATACTACTATTTGATTGATGTTAAAATAAGCAGTGATTTGAAGGGGGACTGGGTTACCTTTCGTCAATTTTTATGCCATTAACTGGGCTTATAATAAAACAACCTCAATACCTTCTCGATGTTGAGTATACGGTATACAACCGTTCTGTGCCTTACTGTATCCATTCAAGACCCACTTGTTAAAGATAAAAGATAAATAATATCCGAAGGATACAGGTATTTAATGCGCAGATAACATGGGATTATCAAGTAGACAGTGTTAAAGTGTGTACATGTAAGTTCCAAGCCAAAAAGCTTCCCATACAATTATCAACTTGCATCGATTGAGCAAGTAATATACATACTATTAAGTTGTTGTTAACCTACTTTGCAGCAACATCTAAATCGTTAGCATCAGGTAAGAAGATGACTAAGATTAGTTAGACATGAATCCAAGCTGTTTGGAGTCGTATAGGCAAGTGTAGAACTTCAGGTTGTGGTTTGTGAGAGTATTTAAATTATTTGTTTGAAAATCAGTTGTCTTGATAGCATAGATACAAAATAATCGATAGGATTCTTTCAACATATAGGACTAGGCAACATGTAGTTGGTTAATGGTAACGTCTCCGACTTCAGCAGTGGATGATGCAGGTTCGAATCTCACACGGCATCACTACAGTCGAAGTTGCAGAAATGTGTTGCTGTCGAATGCCAACACAAACACGATACCTAGGTCCAGGGCTTCTTGCCGATTGCCTCCGTTTAGCTCGTGTATAGTTCCTAATTTTGTAGAGTACATTATCTTTCTTTCTTTCCTGTTTCCCTCACCTTCTCCTTTCTGGTCTTTAACAGAATAATTCATGGTATATCTAAATGATACCATTGTTGGTTTCTGTGTACAGTTGCCAATCAGTTTAGCTCCCTCACTACTTTTTCTCCTGTGAATAGTTTAAACTCTTTTCAACTAAATGAGACGATCTAAAGTCAAACGTTGTCGCCGTAACTTTATTATTACAGATTCTAAATACGTGGAGCTATGTCTCATTGGCTTTGGGAGTTGCATTTCAACCAGTAGTTCAGGGGGTTCGAACTCCGCTCCGACTGTGGAGGTTTGGGCAGCCAGGTCGTACCATTAATTCACACACAGTTGATGTGGCTCATTGTCTACTGTATGAATTTACATAGGGCTACTGAAAGCATCTCGATTCGGATACTTTGTGATTATATATAGCATGGAAGATGATATCTCCTAGGTTCCTCCGTAGAATAATATTTATTGTTGTTGAATATATAAATGACTTCTTTCTCCAGAATTTTCATATATTGGATTTTGTACGCAGTTCTCCTCTTGTTTCCGCTTTTTCTAACTTAAAAAAAAAATTGAATAGCTTGGCATATTAATAACTACACCGGCTGCCTTTTTCGCACAAGCTCGAAGGTTAATCAAACATCATCATGCTTTGGAGGAGAAAATTTCAGAGTTTCGGAAACAGGTGAGTAAATAATGATAATAATTCCGATTTTCTACATAACAGCATAATTATTTCCTGCTGAGATTTATAGTATTCCTTATGAGACAGCTTGGTTGTTTAAGTTGAGTTGGGTAGGGCACCCTTTGACTGCGAGGACTCAATAGTCGATAGTTTTTGTAGCCTTATATGAATGCACTATAAATGATGTCTTTATCGAATAATACCTACAACTGATCATCAGACATGAGCGAGACAGAGGAATAGTTATTCATTTTAACTGTTTTCCATGTGTATTTGTTAAAATTGTGTTGAGTACAGCTTTAAGCCACCTGCAATGTGGTTTACATTGATAGTATGAAAGCATCCTTTTTGCCTGTGTCTTCGCATCCCGTCTCTCTATGTCTCTTAAGTTTATTCTACTCTTTTTGATAAAATGTATCAACTATGAAGTCAAAGCATGAACTTTGTGTAAACTTTGATCTTCATTGTAACCCATTGATATCAGGCGGTTATCGGTGGTGCAGAACTAAATATCCATACATCAATAGTCGAGAGATTGCCAACTAAGTAGGTTAAGCTATATGAATCATCATTAGTGGGTTTTCTCATGCCATATCCACCTTTGTATTTTATCACTGCTACCTCTTAGGGGTATTTGTTTTGTTTAGGAATTTTTTCGAAAATTTTTCTGTCAGTGTTAGTCGTCGTCGTCATTTCTCTTTCAAGGACAGTGACCTTCAATCCTCTTTTATTTATTTGGCGTTTGTTAGAGAAGCATATAATTATCATTTAACTATCTGATATAGCCGTAATTTGGTAGACTAGTATTTTTACTGAGTGATAATTGAAGGTGAGATGAAAATTTAGATCAAGGCAATATTTGAACCAGCGACCATAGGGTTTCCGGACCTCGTAGCTCAGTTGGTAGAGCACGGGACCAGAAACCCGGTGTTCGGTGGTTTGAGTCCGGCTGCCGTCCAAATTTTTATTTCACCTTCAATCATTACCCAATATAAGCACGCAATTACCAACTGATGTACCTTATTTCAGAGTGACTTTAAAGGTCACCCTAACAACTTTTGAAAAACGACCAGTCAGGCTTTGGTATTTCGCCTGGAAAATTACTTTTCCATAAAATAAAGGAATGTAACTGGCTGTCTCATCAATTGCTAGGTTGGTCTTTAAAGTCATCCCTATTTCATGGTATTTCTCTTTAAAATTTAGAAAATTTATATAGATTGATTCAAATTTATGTCTATGCATAGGATTTGAGCAACTCTGTGGTCCACTGTTACAACTACAGAAATAGCCAATAAGGTTTCCTAATTTTATGAAAAAAACTGTATTTCCAGTTGAAATAGAGGAACTTAATTGTTCGTTTCTGTGGTTGATAAGGTTGTTTTGTTTCAGATCATTCATAAAATTTATGTGATTATCAAGATACTATAAGCAATACATTCATAAATCAATGAGTCATATTTGTGTATGTCCGAACATCACCAACCAAAATGTACAAGTCTATGAAATAAGTGAATTCATTATTCTCGTTATATCAGTAGTGGGGCTGTGAGTCAGTGGTTTAGGGAGATGACTATCAACCATTGGGTCACAGGTTCGAGTCCCACCGCACCTACCGAGGTCTGGGCAACCAGGTAGTGTCGAAAGCCCTCACACAGCAAGAGGTAGCTGAGTGTAACTGGATTATATCAGTTAGTTTTGCACCTGATCGTGACTAACTTTGTACTTTTCTAGATGCATGGGTCTATATATTTCTGGTTGAATTGTCTGAATTCACTGCTCTGTGTCAGTACTTCGTTTGTGTTAGTACACAATTGTAGTTTGTTTTTTGCCAGCAAACTCCTGGATTACAACAGATTTTAGTTGATGTGAAGCGCAGAAATCACTTCATAATCCGATTACAAATCAGTACAGTTTACTTTCCTCAGACTTTATTACACTCATTTTAAAACAATGAGGGAGGGAGGGGGGACTTCGTTAGTTATTTCATTCAATCAATGTATTTCGATGATGTAGGTGATTGTTGCAGTGTTTTTCATGATTGGTTTAGTTTTATTGAGTTCTACGTTAGGGAAGGAAGACATTTTGTTGATGAAAGGACACAAAAAGAGTATGATTTACAAGATCACAAGTCACCGTATGGTCGACCGGATTTATTAACATCATTCGTCCGACTGTAAAACAACACAAACTTCTTCATCCTTCACGTGGACAATCACAACCCAGTGAAGATCGATAAAATTTAAGGTCAAAGCGCTAAATATATAACAAAATTGTCTTTCCTTCCATGTGTACAACAGGATAGAAAAACATGGTGACGAAAAACAGTATGATTTGTGGACATGCTTCATTTCTCGCTCACTGGAGCTATTTTTCTTTTGATGATACCACCAGAACTGATGGTAAGGAATGCACGATCAAAATTTAGGAAAGATCAAATAATTTCCCTCCAATAAATCTTAGACATCTCTTTAGTATTTGCTATCATCAATTATAAAATGAACATCCATCTCTCTAAACTAGTTTTAACATGGCATTCTATTAGGTGAACTTACGAGTCATCATGATTGGTTTCTAGTTAATTATGTTATTTCCGGATAAAGAGGGAAGGTTGGGCATAGGGCCAGCAACAAGGAACTCTAGCTGGCTGGCAACGAACCAAAAACCTATCGCTTAACAAATATGCAGAAGAAAGTGAAGATGGATTGGATTGAGCATAGATTGAGAAAACTATTCGAAGACATCACGCGCCAGGCCCTCGAGTGGAATCTAAAGGGAAAACAATAAGTTGGGCTTCCAAGGGTGGCATGGAGGAGATCATGTAAGGAAGAAATGAAAGCTTGTGAGAAGTCGTGGCGCCAGGTTCAAAAGACTGCAGAAAAGAGAGCGCAACGGAGGCATCCTACTGAATCTTTATGTTCCACTAGGAACCCAAGGGGTAAATAATAATAATATGTTATTTCCGAGTAAATTAAGGCAATAATTTATTGGGCTTTGGTGTCATTCTAGCTGAGACATTTTCAGCGGTGAAGCCTACTGACATCATAGTTGGATAGTGGAAGAGCAATTCAACCGCGCAAACTAAATTTACTTCACTTATGCTCTTAATGATTAACACCTGAGTGTTTTCATTGTGTCTAAAGGGAAAGCTGTAGCTGACTGTCTTTTCCATAGTTCCTTAATCCGACCTGTTTAATCGTACACGATACTTGTTTATCTAAACTGCTTATTATTAAACCAAAGTAGAAATATCTCAAGTGGTTTGATAATATTGTATTCTTTCAGTTGGATGGTTAAATCGTGGAGCTTTCAGTGTTATTCTAGACAACATCATGAACTGAGCTAAAAATATTCTCAATATCTTACACAACCTTGCCTTAGTACCTCAGGTTTGTTGTCACAAAATTCAACTAGTCTACCGAGAAACTGTAGCATACTCAGTTTGCTTGCACTTACAAGTTCCAGAGTAGTCCTGTTACGAAATCTCAAAACAAGATAGCATCGAGTATTTTAAGCAGTTGACTTGACCTTTCCCAGTATATTTGCCTCAGGAAGCAATCCGGTCAGTATTTCAAATCGATTTATTTTTTATGCACTTGTTAACATAACATCATTAATCTTCTCATATCATCCCTTGCTTAACACCGCAGTCGTAGTATTGTCGCTTACTATTTTCATTATATTGCACACCTGACGACTATGTGTACAAAAACATTTAAGCTTTTTTATACTCTTACTCTTTTTCCTATTTAGATATCTCATCTTTCTGCTGCGAATCAAGAATTAGTAAAACGTCATCAAATAGAGGCTGCACGTCTGTTGGCAGCGGCAACAATGAATAAATCTGACAATGCTTCACAACACCATCAACATCAGCAATATTCATCAAACCAGTCGGCGTATGTGAGTGATGTTAAAACAACTCAGGCACGAAGAAATGGATTTTGTCATGATCCTACAAATATTCCTCCATCTACTGTTACTCGTTCTGGATTAGTGAATGGATTGAATTCTACGCTATTGAGTTCAGCATTGATGATACCACCACCACCGTCATTGACTAAAGTGTCAAACAACACTGCAGACAGTAGTAACTACCATTATCCACCAATTGTCCCCTCAGATAGATTGGTATTTTCTCATGAAACACCTCAGCATTCATTGGGTTCTTTACCGTCTTCGAATTTAAAGTATACAACGTCAGTTGCTTCACCCATATTCTTGCATAATAATAGTAGTAGTAATACTGCACCAATTTTACTGAAAACTCTCAACACAACTAGTCCTAGTACTACTGCTAATGTTACTTTTCATGTGGCTGATTGTGATAGTAGGAATATTAATATTAGTAGCAACAATAATAATCATAGGACTATTCAACAGGGGAATATACCTCCACCCCCGCCTTTACTCCCTATGCACATTCATTCTGATTCTCCGTATACTACTAGTACTACTACTACTACTACCACTTCTGCTGTATGGTCTTCCTCCCCTTCTTATCATAATAGGCATTATTTTATGGATAATAACGATATTAGTAATGATATCCCATCTTTACTCCCTGAGATTAATCGTTCCTTCATCACATCTAGAACAGATTATGAAGCGTCAAACAGTCAAGCTAGTCGGCATCATCATTATAACAAATCAATGCATGCCTCTGTACAAGATTTAATCCTCGATGAGTTTTCTCGTCAGACACCTGCCATTTCAATAAACAACTCAGTCAGCACAATTAATGCTAATAATAAGAGTATTTGCAGCAATTCATCAGACAGTGTTTGTGACTACCTCCAAGAACAACGTTATCCTGATTCTCCTATCCAACGCCATCGTCATCATCACCATAATCATGATCGTCATAGTAATAACCATCATCACCATAAAGGAGTTCAACCTAATTCTATCGATTACAGTCATCAGTTTAATTTACCACCACGTAAACGACACTGGGATTCACATAATTCCATCGTGACAACTAGTATTAATAATGTTAACTTCGATGAAAACTGTATATCGTCAAAATTACCTCGGAATCATTCTTTTATATCATCATCATCATCATCATCATCAACAACAACACAACATCATAATAAAAACACCTCATGGTCACAAAATCTTAGTCCACCGACACTATCTCCGGTATCCTTAGATGATGTTCCTAGTACAACAGATTTTTCACTCCAGTTTGATCAACATGATATAAATTCATCATTTCCACCCTGTCATAACAGTAATAATTTTAATGTTACTGCTACTTCTACGGGTGAACTAAACAAAAATTAATTCTTAAGACATCCAATAATGTACGGTATGGATCTGAGTGAAAGATCCTCATATACCTGTCATTGATATATGTATATAATTCAATGTATGATTTACTCTTTCCATTATTCACTAATATCCATAACGCATATTATTGATGTCTTAGGAATTAATCTTTGTTCTGTTCTTCTTATCAGATATAAGATTTTTAAGATAACTGGCTAGCTAGTTAGCTATCTAACTGTTGACTACCTACCTATTGTATTGAAACACTGAACAAACCAGGTCATTCTACAAAATAGAATAACTTTTCACTTGCTTTATTCTTGTTAGTAATTTTCTTCATTATGTATTATTGTATAAAATGTGCAGATATAAATATACAATATCTATATATATTTACCCGTAAATGGCAGCTGATCACCAACTACTATACTACACCCTAACCCTAAGAATTTCCTCTTTTAATTTATTGTCTTAAAGTTATTCAAAAATCCCGGTCTTGGTTAACTGACCATGGTTTTGAACAAATTCGATATAGTTCAATTTTCAACCTGATCAGTTAACCAAGACCGGGATTTTTGAATAACTTTAAGACAATAAATTAAAAGAGGAAATTCTTAGGGTTAGGGTGTAGTATAGTAGTTGGTGATCAGCTGCCATTTACGGGTAAATATATATAGATATTGTATATTTATATCTGCACATTTTATACAATAATACATAATGAAGAAAATTACTAACAAGAATAAAGCAAGTGAAAAGTTATTCTATTTTGTAGAATGACCTGGTTTGTTCAGTGTTTCAATACAATAGGTAGGTAGTCAACAGTTAGATAGCTAGCTAGCTAGCCAGTTATCTTAAAAATCTCATATCTGATAAAATGAACAAAACAAAAATGACAGGGTGAAAATGATGAATTTATATCATGTTGATCAAACTGGAGTGAAAAATCTGTTGTCCTGGGAACATCATCTAAGGATACCGGAGATAGTGTCGGTGGACTAAGATTTTGTGACCATGAGGTATTTTCATTATGATGTTGTGTTGTTGTTGATGATGATGATGATATAAAAGAATGATTCCGAGGTAATTATATATATATATATATATTGAAATTATTATTGCTACTAACAAAATTCATATTTATAATTGTCTTTCTGGTTATCCGCAGGTATCTTGAAAAGCATTTCCTTGTACACTATGTCTATTATTATGGTTATGTGATGTATTCTCTTCAAATTTTATATATTCTTCCATTCCTTATGTACACTAGATAAATAATTTTCGATAATTATTATTATGGTGTATGAATTATTGAAGATTCTCTCCTGATAACTGTCACCTATTGGTTGTTCTTGATAATTTTTTTGTATAGGATTTCTATCTGCCTTAATTAATGCATGTACTTCTCTTCTCGTTTACTAGGTTTTAAATTACTACTAGCGCTTTATACTACTAATTTATTATTGTATACTTGAATTATTATACTTAGTATTTTCCTTAGTACATATTGTATTAAAACTGCAATATGCCTACATCTATTGCTTATCGCTGTCTTAATTGTTGGCGAACAAAAACCAATATTAGGTTATTTTATTATGATTATTATTATTATTGTGTTTCTACTACTCCTTTTTCTTCGATTGAGTAACCTTCCAAATAAATGTGTGTTCGTTGACTTATTTCTACCTGCTTCCTTTCTCTTCTAATCCCCCTGTTTCTCCCCCCACACCATTTAGTGTAACAAATTGTCTCTTTAATTTGTGGGATGTTTTGTAGTGTTCACATAAGCCTTGTGTTTGTTTTTGATTTTCTTTATTCCAAACAGTGAAGAAGGAAACAGGTTGTCTCTAGTCATATTCGTTAATCTTGTTATTGCTGTTGACGATAACTACTAATTACTATTACTGCTAGTATTTCAAGTTACATCTTTTTTTATGCGATGATTTGACTATAAATATTCAATTTCTATGCAATATTCTTTTGATCATAGTTACTGGTGGGTTGTTCTGAAAATATGGTCCTGTTGAAAATCATTTGTGGGTGACTTATACTAGAAGGAAATGTCGAAAAGTTGTAAGTTTGACAAAGGAGGCATTTTGCTCAGTCACTGCTAGAGTTTAACTTGATATATACTTTTTTGAATGTTTTGGCGACAGACATCTCGGATTAAATTCTAAGGAGTGATGCCAGCGAATGCAGATGTTTCAGACTCAAGTCTTAGGTTAATGGGAATGCATATGAATTATCTTGCTGTTGATTGAGAATTAGACCTGGTGGCTTAGATTTATGATGTCGAGTACTTTCAAGTGAATCTTATACTTATACTTCCTCCCTAAGATAAATCAGTCTACTGAGGAATCCCATATTGGAGCGAAATAACTGCTCGGTGCTTACAGGTTTCCAAAGGTCCTTCAACTGATGTCAAGCTCATTGCATTGTGTTCTTAGCGGCTGCCAAGCGTTACAATATGCCTTTATGTTCGGTGTCAGTACCGGCCAAAAATAAGTGATTCTTAGGGTAAAGTAGTAAAAAACAGTTGCTATTGTCCATCCCGATGATATTTCCAATCGCCACAGATTCCCTTCTTAGGCATTGAAGTCACTGGCTTGTATGATTACATCTGAACATTCTGTTTTTCATAGTACTTGTGCCTGCCTGGACGAAGAATCTAGTCTACCAATATTTCATATTTGTATGTTGCTGATTACGCAATCATGAACACATTTATGATGACTGAAATCTCTTTGAAGGGAAATCCAAGGCTAAGGTCACTTATGAAACAAATTTTTTTTATTAGTGATCAGAATTATAGTGTGTCCTTCAGTGTGTTTAATACCAGAAGGAAACCGGAAGAGTGAGAGAGTTGTAAGCTGATAGACTTCGCCGATGTCCAAACACATTTGTCATTAGTTAATATTTTCCTGGAGACTTAGTCGTTCACACTGTGATGCAACAGTGTGATATCAACCAGAGGGACTGCTGAAACTCAACGAGTACTAATCAGCTACTCAGCAGTGTGTGCATATTAATCTATGTGTTATCGAGTTAATGATCTTCAAGTTTGACAGTCTGCACACTACGGATCAGTTAATGGATGAGAATATATTGTGTGTGGATAGGAGTTGGAAACCAAGAACAATAGGATTCCAGGCTAGTGGCTTTGTAGTAAAGTGCTAAACTCCAAAGTTAACGTTTTTAGAGTGAATTCTCATACTGCTAACGTGTCTCAAAGTAGCAAGACACAGCTGTGTCGTACTTTCTAGTTTTCAACAGTTTATTAACTTTTATGGAAACATGATGAAAATTGTATTGAAATCAGGCAGTATGTCGCAAATCAATCAGGTGGATCACAATCTATACAGTCGACAAATACCAGCTTATGGTACCGATGGGATGATCATACATTCTTCAATTAGCGACTGTTTCATAGTTCCACAGACAAAACCAACACAGAACCTCGCACACAAGTGCATCAATTCAAGTTGCCGCACTTCACAGTTGTATAAAAAGAACAAGCGGATGGAAAAAGATTGGTGAATAAGCAGACAATACTGTATGGAAGAGAAAAAATAAGCAGTTAAAATATTCAAGCTTTAGAAGACATGAAGAGGTGAATTTATCTGCACCATTGTGACCGATTTCTCCAATAGTACTCTGCCACTGATTTGTTTCGGTGACCCGCCAGGTAGTCCACATCTCCCTAATCTGCTCAACCAACAGTCAGAGACTCCTTATCCAACGTATTTGTGATGTATGACCATCAGGAAGAAGTGAGGACAACACTTGGTTAGCTATCAGTGAGCAATTATAAAACAATTGTTTCAACTTGTCATATCAACTACATGGAGCAGAATGTATTGTTAAAGATGAAAGTTGCCTATCAAGTTATCAACTGAGATGGTTGAGAAGTCTCTGTTGTAGCTGAATAAATCGATATCACAATAACAGGCTAGATAATTCAACTCATGATAAGATAAAGTTACAGAGCCATATATATGAAAGAACAATATTAAGAAGTTTGAAGGTATCCTGACCAACAATGAACTGGATGGTTTGAAAAAACTTGAGCACCGAGTTAGTATGATTCATCGTATAAAGTCTACTTTTACTTGTGTAATACTGGCGTAGCATATTAGAACAAATATTTTGTATTATTCCTCAACATTTCGAACTTACTAGGAAGATCCTTTTCAAGAGTATGAACCTGACATTAAGTTTTCGGGTTAATATTCAAGTTTTGGTATTAAGAAGCGCTGGTCTAAGACTTTTGCATATTTTCTTCGCGATGATTTAGGTATAAAGTTTTTTGACATATATATATATATATATATATATATATATATATATATATATATATATATATATATATAATATATATATATAAGTTGTTATCACCAGACGGAAGGAAGAGAATTGAATTCTTCTAAAATTTCAATACATTTGACCTTCCATTTGATCCTAAATACTTGCGAAAACACTTAATTCCATAAGACAAGTTTCTTATCCAATAGTGATCATCAAGTGGCGTATTAATTTCGGGAATCAAGGGTTGATTATTGGTGATCTGACATTGATTTCTAAACAAGCGTATTACTTGTCCTTAGAACGTTTTCACCTACGTTGGTAGTAATTATTATAAGCAATCAATAGCTCACTTTCTAGTTTGTTATGATTCATACTTAGTAAATCCTCGGTTGTTTATGAACTTATTTCCTAAAATATTCCAATGCTAGTAGAACAAAGTAAGATTCATGCCTTTTACAGAGAAAAAGAAGTCATCAATTATTATTACTATTTGTCCCTTGGGTTCCTAGTGGAACATAAGGCTTCAGTAGCACTTCGCCATTTCACTCTCTTCTGGCTCCACGACTGCCCATAAGCTTTCATTCCTTCTTCACACAGTCTCCTCCATATCATCCTC